AAAAATTAAATAATTAATGTTTGTAAAAAATACTTGTTTAATGAGTTAAAACAAAAACAAAAAAAAAATAAAAATCACATAAATAGTTTGAAAAATATTTAAATTATAATACCAGTTAATGTGATTTTAGATTGCTTATGAGTAATTATATAATAAAAAAGCAAAAAAAAAATATAAATATATAGATACATGAATAGCACAATAAATATGTATGTGTAGCTTAATAAATTAACGTACCTGATTTGAGTGTGTTGGGACTCAATCTCCTTGTGAGCCTTCTCCCACACTGTGTCAAGAGAACCGGTGGACGTGTTTAGCCACTGCTTCAACACATTGTGGGAACTCTCCACCCTACACGACGTGGTGTTACCCAAATGCAGGAAGTGATTCGTCCACGCTTTGACAAATTTTTCCTTGTGGACTAACCAGTAATCCTCTACGTACTGTATAACAAGAGGAAACTTATTGTACCGAAGCTGCATTTCCTTCACGGCAGTGTCGTACTCGACCACCGTGCTCGCTTCAATGATGTTCTTCCACCGACCACGCGTGAATATCTCGGCGAATTGCTTATTTTTGTGGGTGATTTTATAGACCCTCTGTTCCACATCCTTGTTGATGTGCCACGTGCAAAGAAGATGGGCAGACATCGGAAAATTAGTCATAATAGGCTTCATCAACCCCATCTCTCTGTCAGTGACAATGACTGAAGGATGTACATCAGACCCAATGAGATCTCTCAACCGCTTCAGAACCCAGTCGTAGCTGTTCTGGCTCTCGTCCTTCACAATTGCATATGCAATCAAGAAATTCTTGTTGCACGGCGTCATCCCTATTATCTCCACAAGCGGCATCTTGTACCTGTGCAAATGAAGGCAACAAAATCAAACAAAGAATAAAAAAATGTACATACTTAGACAATAATAATTAAGATTCGTACTGAATTGTTATTTATAAATTAACGTACCTGTTAGTTTTGTACGTCGAATCTATGCCGACGTACCAATAATATGTCTGAAAGAGAAGGGCTGACTGGGGATGCGACATGAACACACGTGTCAAGGTGTGTTTGTCCTTATCAGAATCGGTGAAAACTATGTAATTAGCCCGGCTAGCCAGATGCATAAGCTGGGAAGTCACATCTCTACCCTCGAAACTCTCTGATCGCATTCTAGCCCTATAGTTGTAAACCTGTTGACGAACCGCGTTGTCAGTCGGGTATTTCTCGTGTATCGCTGCCAATATTATCGCCGGTCTTGCCTGGGCAGCTGTCATGTCACGGACGATCTGTCTCGCCTTTTCACTCAATCCGCTGAACTGTCGATGACCCTCGGGATACAAAACCATAGGATGATTATGGTATCCCTTCCGGTCATCCAGAGGAAAACATACACTCCAGGAATCTTTCGAACCGGGCACTTTTTTCAATTTCATCTCAAACAGGCATCCGGTAAATTTTGTTTTCGACTTTCTGAGGACAGCATTAACAAGATTGGATATTTTATTACCTCGATAACGTTCCCCTCGGTTACACTTCAGAATCCTCAATGTTCCTCCATTTGAGTGCTTTGAAATAATTAGTTCAAAACCACAGATAGTTGTCATACCGACTGCATAGTTAATAGCTTTTTTAAGACTATCAAATATCTCACCTGTTACGAAAAAAGGCCAATAATCAACATTATCTCCTCCAAAATCCTCAACTGGCGCCTGCAATATATTACCAAAACATAATCAATTATATTATAACAACACATTTTAAAAATACTTATTACTTTTTAATAATAATAATATATATATGACTAAAAATATTATTATTAAAAATATTTTTAATATTTAATATTTTCGTATATTAATTATTTTTCATATATATTATTCTTAATATATATTTTAATAATTATATATATATTAATTATATGTAATTAATATATAATAATTTTTCGTATATTATAATTATATATATTTTTAATGCTTTTAAATATATATTTTGAATAATTATATTATAAATATATAATTAAAAAAATATATAATTATATTTTGAATATATTTTGAATATATATTTTTAAATATATAATTATATTTCATAATTATTATAATTATAAATATATATTATAAATATATAACTAAAAAAATATTATAATATATATTATTTTCATATTTCGTATATTATTATAAATATATAATTATATATAATATATATTAAAAAAAAATGGTCACGCCGGCCGGCCGGCCCGCCAGACCGGCCGGTTCAGGTCTGGCCGGTTAACAAAACCGGCCGAAAATGGACCGGCCGGCCAGAGTCAAAATACCTTGACCAAGGGCCGGCCGCCAACATTGGCCGGCTAGACCTGAGCCGGCCAGTATAAGCGGCCGGCCAGGAATTATGCGGCCGGTCCGGCCGGCCGGCCGCCGAGAAAAAAAAAAAAATTACCTTGCTCGCCGCCATCGTCGTCGCCGGAGTAGGTCGGAATTTTTTTCGGAATTTTTCGAAGTCCGGAACCGGGAGAAAAAATGTGTAAAGTGGATAATGAATATATTTTTTTATTATTATTAAAAAGGGCAAAAACGACTTTTAGAGGGGCGGTAATAATCGAAAAGGGGGCGGCAAATATCAACACCATTAATATAAAGGGGATATCATGGTTATGCTTGAAAAAACTGAAGAAATGTAATATATCATTATATCTTTATTGTTTGTCCAACACGAACGCTGTTTTTAGTTGGTGTATATTTCCTCTATATATTAACTCAAATGTGATAAGTCTTAGTGGAAGACTCAATTACTTATAACTTTTTCTCTTAAATCTACTAAAACATATTATTGTTGAAAATTAAACTTTAAAATTAGTTATATTACTAAATTTTTATTTCAAAAGTATTTATCATCTTCATTTGTTATGATGGAGAT